GCTGGGTGGGTGGGGGGGGGGCGGGGGGGGGGGGGGGGGGGGGGGTGTGGTAAACATTAGAAGTGGATTTTCTACTAACCATAATGAAAACTGCAACTGTTTTCTCATGTCTATGGCTAGCCTAAGGATCCTGATGGATTAGCACTGGATTAGGTATGCATATGTCCTGTCTGGGTATCACTGTTATAGAAGAACATTATCAGTTACAATGTCATTTATAATACCACAAGCCCACTTACTTGTTGTCTTGTCATATAAATAATAGTTTTCCTTCTTTGTTGAATTTACTCCAAGAAAAGCTTTGTAATTATTGTCCTCATACCAGTTGAAAGAGAATACTCTTGCACCACCTCCCTCTGGATAACCACAAAACAAGTCCGATAGAGAACTCATGAGTTGACTAAAGGTTGATGGTCCTCCCTCTTGAAGAATAGGATGTAGAACCCATAGTAGATCCTGGATACTTTGCTTTTGTGATAACTGCAACAAGAAAACAAGTGCTTAGCAAGCCTCGAAAATCAAACATATCATTTAATAAATGAACAGCAGGTTATCAGCACAGTTGCTTAGTGGCTAGCACTTCTGACTTGCAGCACTGGGTGTCCCTGGTTTGAATACCTCAGGGTTTCCTCCCACACACCACAGATATCTAAGTAGGTTAATTAGCTCCCGACTAAATTGGCCCTAGTATGTGTATATTATGCATGTGAGACAGGGATCTTAGATTGTAAGCTCCTTGAGGGCAGGGCCTAATGTAAAGTGCTGTGTAAATTGCTATATAAATACCATCAATAAATAATCAATTCTAAAATATAGTATTTACAGTCGGTTTGCGAATCCCTCTGCAAAGGACTTCAAGTGATGAGGCCTAGTAGGCTAATGCAGAACTGCCCATGGTTGGGTGATAATAGGGTTGAGTGAAACTAAGAGTTTACATTTCCCTGAAATTTTTGCAAAAATCTGAAGATTTTAGTTCAATTTTGACACAATTTTCTAAGTAGCTCCTTTTAGTTAACCTTGTGCCAAAAACAGAGCGTCATCAGCCTAATTTTTATGTTTGCTGCTTTAAATAATTAAAATACTGAGAGAAAATGGTAGAATTAAAAAAAAATAAAGCAAAAGTAGATAATAAATAATAAGAAAAGGAAGAAGCAAAATAATAATAAATACTAAGTAAACTAAACTCGCCTAAATACATTCTCCTAAAAACATATAATACATAAAGAAAAAAAAAGAGTAGACCTTTTTTTTAAAGCAAATTTTGTGGAAGCACATCAATGTGAAACAGAGCTTCAGCTAAATCAATTTAAATGAAACTATTTTGCTTCTTTCTGTAGTCATTATTCTTGTTTTGAATAGAGTGGGTAAGGGCTAGAGTCTCTGTCAAGCTATTATTGCCACTATTAAGGGGAAATCTCTCCAACTGGGGCTCAGACAAATACAGAAACACATTTTAGTTGAGTGAGGAAGGGTTAGAATTACTGACAAGGTGATTATTACTCTAAGTGCCACCCTGTCCTGGCATTTCTTGTATTGGCATCAGAGGAACAAGAGGTGACAAAAAATCTTTCTAATGGAGTCACATAAAAAAATAAAAACCTCACAGAAACTGTAACTCTTCCTCACTATTTCCAAAGTAAAAATACTAACACACACCAATGTCCCATAGACTTGAATGTGACACTACTCCTGTAATACAGGTATGTCTCCATTCAAGTTTATGGAGCTTTAGTATACAGGTGCAGATTTTTACCGACCAGGCTACAGACATAGATGAACCTGCTGGAGGGGGGATCCAATTTTATCTATTGAGGGGGATATGGAGAGGGGCTGGATTACTTTTTTAAACCTGTATATGTACTTGAAAACACAAGCCCTTACTGATCTCTGTAGCTACAGGTACCGTGGAACAGCTAATCTTTAAAGTACACCAGAGAGGCAGTGAAGTCATCTAGCCTAAGCACTCTGCTTTCCCTCTCTTCTGGTGCCCCTGTTCTGTGTGTGTATATTAGAAATTGGATGGCTGTCAAGCTACCAGGTCACTGTGAGAAGGGAGTGCTGCTTAAAATAAAAATGAAAGTATTTTGCTATACTGTTTAAGGATAAATTGGTCTCCAGTGCCTGCAGCTCTGGAGGTCAGTGAAAGCGTGTTTTAAAACATTATATTTACACGTTAAGTTTTTATGCTATTACACAGGATTGAAGTGCCAGCTAATTTGCTTACCACTCTTAGCGATTCAGAGATATTAGACGCAACTTTTCCCCAGAACTTAAGGTCTATTCCACGGGAATTGCTGTCTATAACAGTTGGCATCTGCCAAGGAAGAGAAAAGAAAAATGCATAATTTCTAAATGTGTCTTTAGATAATGTAAGACATTCAGCCCATCTGACGGTCCTCAGGTATGCATAGATTAGACTCTATCACCAACTGAAACAATTACAGGTAAAAGCACAGAACAATCAAGAATTTTAAATGTTTACTTACGGTATTTTTGCTTTTTGTAAATTACTTTTTTATTCACTTGCAAATTTTTTTGCACTTCCTTTTCTTCTACACTTCAAGTCTTCAGGTCCCTCAACGGGTAGAGGGTAACTTTGGTTTAGGAACAAAATGTCTGCTATTCTGATGCAACTGAACCTACAGTTCTTCATATCCTCAGGCCCCCAGGTCCAGAGCTATGTCAGACCAAACCCCTTATGTGGGTATGGACACTCTTAGGCAAATGAGAACTCTTTTCACCTTATTGTAATAATTTGAGTGTCTTTGTTTTACCGCTGTATATTGTATATGGTAGAAACATTTTCTTATGTGCCTATGAGTAAAACATTACCCAAACATTGTCTAAGAATTTTCTAATTTCTTCTATTTTGTTAGGACAGCCCCAATTTTTAAACATTAAAAGATGGGATTAGTAGCCATTATGTCTAATTTTAAGGAATATATGGAGGACTGTTTTTTTTTTTTTTTTGGTCAGTTTCCTATTCCACCTTACTTATTCTATTCCACTAAGCACAGTGAAAGCTCCCAATGGGAAAGGGAATGTTTGTAAATCAGCACTTGTGAACTTTTAAGCAACACTACATTAGGAACTGGCCATATCATATCCCACAATTTTTCATACCCTGTAATAATAACACAGCATATTTCCAGATACATGAGAAAGTCATTGGACATGGAAGTTCAATACAACCACAGAACAACAAATTTTTGGTGCATTAACACACACACACACGTGTTAATATGTTACCTTACAGCAGCGCGGTAATTCGAGCACCCATTCACACCACTCTGGTCTGCTGTGGTGGTTTAAACGCATGCATGGTGACACCTGCTGAGTCACTCACTAGACATGCAATGAATTAGGTGAGTGGCTTGCATAATGTACAAGCCACTCACCTAATGTACTTAGGTAATGTACTTGCAGTGGAAATATTTATATTTTGGTACTTGCCGATACCGAGTACTGGTACTTCCGCTAGCATGGAGCCGGCTTCCCAGGCAATCATTACCCACCGCCCGGCTTCTTGATTGGAGGCCGACTCCATGCTTTTTGGCCGACTCGATGCTAATTAGCCGGGAAGCCAGCATTCGAGCCAATCAGGAAGCCGAAAGGCAGGACATTACCCGCGCGCCCAGCTTCCTGATTGGCCGGGAAGCTGGCTCCATGCTGTTTGGCCGGGAAGCCGGCTTCCCAGCCACTCAGCATGGAACCGGCTTCCTGGCCAATCAGGAAGCCGGAAGTTGGGTCATTACCTGACGCCCTGCTTCCTGATTGGCCAGAAAGCTGGCTCCATGTTGTTTGGCCTACTCGATGCTGATTGGCCAGGAAGCCGGCTCCATGTTTGTTCACTCGCGGCACTGCTGGTCAGAGTAAATCTCCCTCTGAACGGAAGTTCTGGTATCGGAGCAAATACTCGGTATTGGCACCAATACCGATACTAGTATCAGTATCAGTGCATTCCTAATAGTAACATAGTAGGTGAGGTTGAATAAAGACCAAGGTCCATCCAGGTACATGAGCTTGAGGCAGGCATTTTTGGTCCTATAGATGTCTATGGACGTACCTGAAAAAAGGCGGTCCCATTTAAAAGGCTATGGGGCCAGAAACGCACGATTATGCACCTGTACTATAAAACGCATAAAAAAATGAATACACAAACGTGTAAAAAAAATATGGCTCTAAATCAGGGGTGTCAAACTCAATTTAATCGTGAGCCGCATCAACATCATGTTTGCCCTCAAAGGTATCTTTAAGACTATATAAATGTATCTAATTGTTATCATAATTGCTTCTGCATTTGATTATCACTGGTTTTAGTAATAACATAATACCTAGATCTGAAAGTAGAAGTCTAGGAAATGGCCTGGTGTGCCGGATTCTGCCCCTGGGCCTTGAGTTTGACACATGTGCTCTAAATTGATTGGCTATGTTCAGGCTTAGCTGTACCTTTAGGTCCGAAAAAATTCACCTGACAGTCTGGCAAAGCACAACTATAGGACCCTGTGAATTAGATTAAAGCACTAAAATTGGCCGGTCCTATTTTGTCATATCCGTTTGGCTATACTACGTACTAGCGATTTTTTTTATTACAGAAATATAAAAATCTCCTATTGTACACTAAAGGTACCCATAGATGTTGCAGTAGCTATAACCTAAGGATGGCACCAAATTCTAGGTTATGACCTCTGAAAGAAAATACCTAGAGGGAAATTTGCCATTTGTCTTACTGCTCCAGATTCTCACTCAGTAAGGTAAGTTGATCAGCTGTAGATATTATTTTGATGGAAAACTTCCTAAGCAACAGGTTATTCAACCTTATGATTTAGGAGAACATAATTGCTGCTGCTAGACCCTTGCTGGTACATAGCTGCACATGAGGTGCCAGTGATTTGTAATCTGATGGAAGCGATGCCTCCGAGATGTCTGTGAGAGAGCAAAACATAATCAGTCTCTTTATCCACTGAAACAATGCACGCTCTTTACGTTCTTGGCACTTTGCAAATATTTTGAAATATTGTGCAATGTTTAAAGCAAACATAACAAACCATAAGATTTTTCCTCAACATTTTTCATGTGCAGCACAGTATCATTCATAAGAGGAAAACAAACCTGGCTAGTTTAATGGCAGCGCTTACGTGTTTTCTAAACAACAATTAAATGTGGGCTATATAACTGATTGTTTTCATATATGAATTCATATATAGATGAGATAGTAATTAACCCTGTTATGGTTGGCATGGTGTTTAGGGTTGACTTAGCAGGCACTAGTTTGAACATAAGCTATTACACTGGTACTTATGCTATTTATTAAACAAAAAACAAGGTTTTAAAAGAACACTACAGACAGTTGACAATTTTGTATATTGTATACTGTATAACTACATGCTGGTGACAAATCCTACCAATCCACTGCTTTTGTTTTTACTTTCCATTTCAACCATCTCCATTTTCAACCATGTACCCACCACTGTCTCTCTACAGTGGAATTTTACTCACTCCTGAGTAGGAACATGTAGGCACATAACTTTTAGCAACTGAAGCAATACCTTTTTACTAGGATAGTTTCTTTAATACAAAACATTTTCCTGGTCCTAGCCCATCTTAGAATATGTGGAAATATGTAAATATGAGGAAAGTATATTTCTATTATTGATGATGAGGAGAATGTCCAATGACCAATGACTATACAAGGGAAACTGCTTCTTTGCCTTTACTGCCCATACACTAAGGCCTAACCCCTGAGCCCAAATCCAGCCCAACCCCTGAGCAAGCCAATTATCAATAATCCTTGTTATTTACTTATAGTATTCTCCTGCAAAGATTTCAGAACAGCTTAAAGTCCTGCCCTGGGACTAAACTGTATCTAAACCCAAACGCAAAAATGTAATATATTGCAGCTTTCAAATCCTTAAATGTGGTGGCTGCATTAGATTTATTTTTTAAGATTTTTCATTTATTTTTCACATTATGATCCGGCCAGTAACATCCCCTGTCTTAGGGTGGTTTTACTCTATGGAGGAACAATGATGTCACCCTTGGACAGCAGCATTTTCACCCTGTGGAGAAGGTAGCATATTTAGATGGCCTGGACTAACAAATTAAACCTGAACTTCAGCTTACATTTTTCAAACATTTACAGGAACAGTTTTTACCTTTTGGGATAAAGGTTTTATGTAACTGAAACAGCTAACCATTTAAGGACCCCAGTGGCGTATATCCAGGATATGGCACATACCCTGGGCGGCACTTCGGTGACATAGCTGGTTGTGAGGAGCTGGGCGGGACACCAGCCAGAGCGTCTTAGGTTGCTAAAAGCTGGGCGGGACACCGGCCAGAGCGTCATAGGTTGCTGGGCGGGGAGATGTTTAAAGACCATACACATCTTCGTGCCTGCTTCTTAGCAACCATAGTGGGGAAGGGGATGTGCTTGCAGACTACGCGCTCTTGCCATCATCCTGCCCAGCTGCTGGCAACCAGTAAGGCCACTGGTTGCCAAGAGCTGGCCAGGATGCCGGCCTGGCTGCTAAGAGCCGGGTGGGAAGATGTGTATAGCCCTTACACATCTCCCTGCCCAGTTTCTAACAACCTGAGAAACTGTGGCCGGCATCACGCCCAGCTCCTGAGTCCTGGCAACCAGTGACATCACTGGTTGCCAGGAGCTGGGCATGATGCTTGGGGTACAATTTCTTGTAGATACACCTCTTATGCACCTCTGTCAGTGTTAAATGGTTGCTCAAGATATATTGGCTTTAGATACACTCTTATAATACCAGTAATAAGTGTGGTGTCTAGGGTGCAATTCCCCTAGGTCTGTGCTGAGCTTGAGAAGTAACCTTGTCATATCATTTTTTTCATATTTTTAAAGCTTATGTCACCATTGTAGACAGATTGTTATCTCTTCCAAGCAACCCTTATAGCATCATGTCTCAACAATACCTTGCCCTAGACAGCACAATGACAACAAAACCTGTATTTATATGTGGAGTATTTTTAGTTACAATGAAGACATACGAATGTAAAACGAAATATGAGTTTCTTAGGCTTTAATTATAATGGGTACAATTACTAATGGCAAGGTATCCTGAAAGCAGCTAAAAACAATTATTTATGTAGAATAGAATGTATAGGTTATAACAGGTTATAACAACATCTTATAAATTGAGCTCTCATTGAGGTCTACTGGAGGCTAGGTCAGGTAAGTTTCTGATTGTCCAGATTTTTTGAACATGGCATCTTCTAGATAATTTAGAAACAATACTTAAAATATATTAACTAACAGAAATCAACGCATGACCTGTAATTCCTCTACAC